CTAGTGATGACATCAAGTTGGGTGGGAGTGTTGACCTACTGGAGAGTAGAAGGCTCTGCTGAGGGATGGATCAGGACAGGTTGGATGGATGGGCTGAGGCCATGGGTGTGAAGGGTCAACAGGGTAAAATGCTGGGTCTTATCCTTGGGTCACAACCACCACCAGCAGAGCAAAATGCTGGGGCAGAGGGGCTGGAAATCTGCACAGAGGGAAAGGCCCTGGGGGTGCTGGTGGCAGTGGCTAAACATGAGCCCAGGAGCACCCAGGTGGGCATCAGGACCAGGGCAATGATTGTCACCCTGTACTCGGCACTGCTGAAGCCAAACTCTGAGTGTTGTGTTCAGCTCTGGGCCCCTCACTACCCAGGACAGGGCCAGGGAACCCAGGACAGGGCCAGGGACCAGGACAGGGCCAGGGACCCAGAACAGTGCAGCCTTTGGTGGTGCTCCCCTGGGAGCCAGGGCCTGACTCACACCCACCCTGCCATGAACAAATGTTCTTTTTTCCAGTATGTGCTTTCTGCACGGAGGCCCACACAGAACAGTTAAGATTTTAAAGTATTCTGTTCTTTTCAGTCAGGCTGATTATGAGTTGGTGTAAATTCTTGCTGCATTAAGATGTCCTAGATTTTTATTAAGTACATTTGTGTTACCCATGTAGTAAGGCCCTGTTAAAATGCTTTGAGTTGGCCAGTCTTTGTGGCTTTTTTTTTTCCTTCAAGGAGGGCATGGATTGCTCATTTTGAATGAATTTTTGAAAATAACGAGTAAGAAAACAGCATGTATGTGAAGGCCCTACAGAAGTATGGTACATCTGTTTCAAAGCACCAAAGTGCAGACTGTCCCTAAAACAATTGTGGCATCTGTAACTCTTTCCATTCTGACTGTGCAGAAGAAAAATTTGCCAAAATAGCCATTGTGGGAAAACCTCTAGGAAGTTTCTTTCCAGCTGTGAAGTTATTTGGGCTTTGCCAAGCCAGGGTGGCAGAGCTGCAGAGGCCCCTCTGATGGGAGGGTGGCCCAGACGCAAAGAGCAGCTTGTGAGTGTTTGATGTCTGCCGGTCACTGGAGGGAAGAATATTCACCAGGAGAGCAGACTGGCCATCCTGATGGAAAGGAAGGACACTGGCTATGAGGAAACAAGGAAGGAACTGGCTGTTGTACTTTCTCCCCTGGCCAGCTGGAGACAAGACACCAGAGCACGTTCTGCCCAACAGACACAGCTGCTCCTGCAGGACCATGGGGTGAGGAAGGTAAATGTGACCAAGCTCCCATCTGTGCCGTGAAACTGGAATCAGGAAGATGGCAAAAAGCTTCAAAAAGGCAAAATAGATAAACATGCATCTCTTTGATCCTATCAGAGCTTTGGCCACAGTTTCTGGATTACTGTGATTTAGCAAGAATATAGAGAAAGTTCCCCAAACCAAGGTCCAAGTGCTTCAAGCTAAGTTCATAGCACAGGCAAATACTTCTCTTGTGTAACACTCCAAAAAATAATGAGAGTTTTGAAAAGGAAGTGTTCCTCAATACTGACTGTCTGACATGTGAACTAGCCAGACTAGTTAAAGCTTAATTAAAAAGTGCCAGAGTGACTAAATTCTTTTCTAAGTGCAGCTGCAGAACGTTAGCTGTGGGCATATTTTAGACCTTAATTAGTAACACTTGCACTAGAGGACCAAAATCTTTCATGAATGCAGCTGCAATCAATTAATATCAGTCAGGCATTTCTGTAGGCAATACAAGGGTTCTGAAAATTCTTTTAGTGCCCACCTAGATTAAATTAAAAAAAAAAAATACTTACATGCAACAGAACTACAAAACCAGACATAACTACAAAATGTCTTTATTGAAAAAAGCAGATTATAGCATCTAAGGTTAAATGAAACTTCTGACTTTAATATTAAATAACTTAAGATGATAGCAAGTAGCTTCTTCTTTAGATAAATAAATCTACATTTCCCAATTTTTTTCTTCAACAATCAAGGGAATCAAACACTGAAACACAAAACCACAAGTAATTCTAAAGACTAAAAGACAGAAGCACATTGAAAGGTTTTACAAGGATATATATATATACAAAAATAGTTAACTAATGTATATTTTCAGCATGTAAACTAGTTACATGATATACAAACTGGGAATTCATTTATTTCCTACAAAATAAAAATCAACGTTGGTCCAAGTTCTTGGAAGAAAACTATATTCTTTTAAAGAAAATGAAAATATTTCTCAAATGAAAACTTAATTTAAGTCAAATTATATACTCTAGTTACGGCATTAGTTACAGGATGAATCACAAACTTTTAAACTTTTCTTGAAACACAAGAAAGCAGCTTTTGTTTCCTTTAGAGCTTTGGTTTACTTTACTACTCTGGAATTTCTGGTCTTAAAGAGTTCCTCTAACCATGTTTTCCTTTTGAAGCTCCACCTTACAAAATATATACACACACGTGCACACAAGTGAAAGGAAAAGGAAAGAAACCCAAACAAACCCTCTTGGAACCTCAATTCTCTGAGTGCATTCTTTTGTTTTCAAATGAGTATTTTGGTCCTTTCTTTGGAACATGTCCTCCTGTGGACAAGGGACCCTGCACTGCCCACAGCAGCTGATGCTGGAGAGGCTTGGGAAGATTCCCTTCCTACAAGGGAAGGTGATGTGCCTGATGCAAATGAGAGCAGGTTCTTATTGATGGAACTTTATGGAAACAGTACAGTACAGTAAAGGCTTCTGAAGAACAATTGCATTGTAAGATGAACTGAGGAAGTTTTCATCTGTGTTGAACTGATTTAACATAAGAATATTCCGTAAGAAAATAATTAAAACAAGATTTCTCATTTATGTAATTCCCCAGGCAGGAGGTAAAATGTGTAGAAACTGTCACTTAGTACTAATGAGTACAACACATCAGTACTTTAGGTTTGACTTTGTTTTTCTCTTTGATTTGAAAAAAAACCCAACCAAACCTGGGAAATTTCACTCAAGCCCCAGTTTTTACAGTAAATGCTGGAAAAGCAAAGCTGTACTTCGTAATACAGTAATGGAATGCATCTGTCTGTAGAAAATACTAGAACAACTGCTGCTTTCTGGTTTTAAACAAATCTCTTATTCCATATTGACATATTACCTTTCAGAATTTTTACCATGATGACACTTAACAGATCAGACCGGCACAGAACTACAAGAGATTGAAAAATCAGCATGTGAAATTAAATGAAATATTATTCTGTTCTACGGGATGATTGTTTTGAGGAAAAAAAAACCAAAGAAATGTTCTGGTTATGTACATGTTTGAAAGTGTGCTGGCCCTTAGAAGGTATGTTGGAAACTTAAACCTGTCCCTGATGGAGGCACAGTGTTCAGGAAGGTGCTGGCAGAGGACTGGGCTGAATGTCAGAGTCAGTCACCTCCAGCTCTGTCCACTGTCAGTGTGAAGGTTTTGCCTCTCTACTGGAAAAGCAAAGCATTTTTCCAGTTCAGCAAGTAACTGTTATTTGTTCCCAGGAAGAGACCAAAATCTTCTTTCTGTATTTTAATCATCTTTTCTTAATCTGGGTCCTGTAATATATATTGTAAAGACAAGCAGGTGAAAATACCTCAAGGCTAAATGTGGTCCAAAGCAACCTCCTGCAATGGTAAAAGAATTCCATTGTAGCTGATGCTAAAAGTTTATCCTGAAGCTCTGCTGCCTTCCGTGTTTGTAATGACCTGAAGGAATTGACCTGGCCATACAATCCAGTTTAAGACATTTTTTTCCCCCTTTCTCCAACATTTGCTGGCATGTGTAGTTCCACTTCCTCCTGAGGCTGGGCTGCTGACTATGGACACAGAGAGAGTGTCAGCAAATGCAGAATTGCACGTGCACTCCTGGCCTCTCATTTGCAGGCCAGACCTCTAGGACCACAGCACAGAAATGGGGCACTGATTGCACTGTAGTTCCTTCAAATCCTGGCATTCACATTAAACATTTTAATTATAAACTGATAAATATTAACTACATAATTACTTTGCCCAGGAGCCTTCAGTAGGACAGGTTACTCTAGGCCATGGAAGTCTGGCAGAAGTTCAGGAAGCATCCCTTTTGTTCCTTACTAACAGAAAAAAAATAGTTCTCAAGAATTTTTCCTGTTCCCCTGCCCCCCACCTTTGCCCATAAGGAAATTCCAGACTATCAAAAAGTTCTGTTAAGGGAGTTAATTATTCCACTTAGGAATTAGTGGCCATTGGATGCTCTTTGTGCTTTTCAAGAGCACCACAAATGGCTTTCAAAAAGTCAATGGAGCATAAGAAACTAAACTGCAATGGTGTTGCCAAATAAGTCATTCCATCAGTCTGCATGCTGAATTTAACACAGGATCATTTCCGAACGGATCGGGCAGATTCTCAAGTGTGGAGAACTGGCATGGAAATGTCCCAGTTTACACATGCCAAGAACCTGGTCTGGTATTTCTGCTTCCTCTGGAGCTGAAGAATTTTATTTTATTGTAACTTTGAATACAGTTAAAGACAGCAATGATAAATTGCAGCTTCAGGAAGGCTGGGTCAATTCTCATGAGAATGCAAGGAATTTTTTTGACATACAGATGGTGTGATTTGTATGTAAAACACCAGCACGTGGTAGAAAACAAACCATAAAAAAAGATTCATCTAACTTCCTATATGGAAGACATATATCTCTCCCCAGAGCTCTGAGGGTACTGTAAAAGCTTATGCAAAACATGAAAGTGTGTACATTCTGTGTACAGCTAATACTTGTTGTAAACACCGATGTTTTGTGGTCTGACTCTCTAAATTACTATTCCTGCCATACTGCACTTTGTTTTCCAGTGAAGACGATCACCATAATCAGTTCAAAAGTAATCTCGAAAAGAACACAAAGCTGAAAAGGTAATACCAAACCACTGGGCCTCTCTTTAATAATGTCTCAACATACAATCATGAAGCAGTTGGTAACAAAAAAAAAAAAAGTCTTGGATAAAACAAGCAGTATAAAGACAAGTGTACCTTTGCATAGAACCCTATTGAACAAAAAACAGTTTTGAAAGATGAATTCTTTAGTAAGTGCCAAATGGTCCAGTTGATAGGAATGCATTTTGAAGCCATGGCTACACAGCCAGCAATTACAGAGGGCTGCAACTACTGACCCGGCACGTGCCAATCTTTTGGATACAATCCTCTGTACTATGGGTTTTATATCAAATCCTTGCCATATTTCTTGAGCAAGCTGAATAATTAGTCTTTGGATGACTGTGGGACCCTGCAGGATGGAGAGCTGGCCTGACACTTCTTCACAGAACACAGAACACCCTTCCTTACCTTGCTGAAAACTGCCCTGGCTTAAACACCTGCTTGCTGCCTATTCCCTACTTCTGGAATCTAAGTATTCTCTAAGACCAGAATTCAACAAAACTAGCTAAAATGCAAGCATGTATCTTATCATGCTTGCTGCAATATGATAAGGTGCTAACTTTTGGAAAGTAATTCTACTCCTTACTTGGGTGAAATCTCCACTGAAGGAAGCAAGTAGGGAGTCCAGAACAGCCCTTTGTACCATTGTTTTCAGAAATGCTGCCATTTACAGTTACAGTTTAGTGGTGAATTATTTGTTCAAGTAGACTGTCTTGGTGAAAATGTCTAGATAAAAGAACATATGTACAAGATCAGAAAAGGACCCCCTCACCTCTGATTTAAAAAATAAATAGATGGTTTAGATGGTTATTACTGGAACCTCATCTTTAAAGGAACATGAAAATAATTTTTAAACTTTTGTCTTCTCTTTCAAACAGCTTATTGATCATGGAAATGTCTTTCAGAGTTCTGTGACATGCATGGGGTAGCTCGGAGGTGGATGTGATGGCAGTTTGATATTAAGGCGCCTGATATGACAGGTGTGGCAGAGCAAGTGGCCCTCTAGGGGATAACAACGATGGCCTTCCTCATCATTGAGCTGCAAGCCACAGTCCTAGAAGAAAGAGAGACATCTCAGATCAGTGAGTGACTCAGGCAGGCCTCTCACAGTGCTGCTGGTCTGTCCTGCATGGCCCCAGGAGCTCCCTCCCACCTCCAAAGCCAGCAGCCTCCACAACTTCTGGGAGGTGCACCCTGACCATCTCACACTGACATTACTGAAATCCAACAGCACAGGCTATAATAGTGCCCAGCCTTTTTTCACCACTGTTTCCCATTCTGATCTCTCCTCCATCTAATAAATGGTGATGCAAATCAAAAGCCTAAAAGCAGGCTAGGGGCTGACCCTGACAAACACAACCTGGAAGAGGCTCGAACAGAGAAGGAAATAATTCTGCAGCGAGGCGGCGAGCAAGATGTGGGGGAGCATAAGTAGAGAATGAGAGGGGAGGGGAAAAGGGGGGAGAGGTGACATATCTTACTTCTGGAGCAGATTTACACTAATTTGGAATTAAAAGAACTTAAAGACTTTAAGGCCAGTGGTCCATCTTTACTAGAAATGCTGGTAATCCCTGGGACTGGCACGTAACTACAGACAGAGACAGAGAAGCAACTAACAGTGATCCTGCCTGCTGACTCTTATGTACACTGCAATAGAGACCATCCTGATTTCCACTTGCCATCACTGTAATTCTGAGGGCATTTGGAAATCACTGAAGTTTGGTGCTCAGATTTAATGTTTCAAGGATGTTAAATACTTAGAAATTATTAACATGATCAATTCTGAGAAATCAGGGATTCTGAGTATGTATCTGTGCACATAATAGAAAGAAAAAAAAAACCAGAATAAACTGGGAATAGAGATGGTTTTACTGCTGAAAACAAATGCAAAGATTTTAAATGAACACAAAGTATAATTTTTCAGCTTTCACAGCTCAAGTTTAAATCCTCAAATTTTACAATAATGAAATAAGACTAAAAATGGGTTTTAAATTAAGCTTTAAAACTGGAATGTTAGTTTAGAGGGGTCTTAATCAAAGTATCTGCCAAAGTAATTTTCTGTGTGTTGCTACATATTATATAATGATTTTATAGCAATTTATACAAGACTTAAAATTAGAACTTGCCAATTTCAGATGCCTTGCAGATGTGCCAAGTGTTTGTATGTTTTTCCTTCTCCAAAACTGAACTCCCTTTCTGCAAGGAGAAAGCCTGCCTTGTCAGTGGATTCCAGTTTCAGAATGGGACTCCAGTGATCTGCAAAAGGGCTTCAGCTCCTCCACAGAAATCAAGTGGGGTTGCACATGGAAGAGATGACACAGAAAAGCTGCAAAGTTTCCAACCTGACCACTGACTGTGCATGGCCAGCAGGTGAGAATGACATCAAAAGCAGATGAGAAGTGGTGGTCTAAGTCATGGCAACCTTTGCTAAAGTTTTCATGTGTGTACCTCAAAATCCTGGCACTCCCTTTTGCAGCAGCATTTGGGGACAGCAGTGTACAGAGAGCCTGATTTGAGAGCATCAGGCAGTAACCCACCCCTGCTGACACATGGCTAACTCCTGATTTCTGTACATAAATGCATTCTGCCTTTCTGGGCAGATGTGGAGGCAGCTTGCTTTGCCTCAAATGGGGAGGAGAATGGGGAAATGAATAATGAAATGACAGAAAATAAACCCCCAGTGGGACATTCCAGCATAAAGTCAATAGCCTGAGAGCAGGGGAGGGAGCTGTCATCTTAGGTGAAGCTTGCACAAAGCAATAGTTGGGGGAAGGAGGAGGGAAGTTCAGCTCTCCAAAATACTGTGATTTCCTGTGCCAATTTCTCTTGAAAAATTAATAGAAATGGATGGAGTATCAGGTGTCTGTTGAAAAGAGATGGCTGACTGGATGGGGCCTTCCTTACATTTAGGTACATACTATTTCAAGATGCCCTGAATTTTGTAATTTTCTCTCTCAGTCAGCAGATTCTTTGTAAAACCTTTGTGCAACAGGGCATGAAGGCAGCACTGCTGTATTGTTGCCCCTGGTGTTAACAGGTAAGATCTGTGTGGATATTTGTGTGTTATATCAGAGTGCCAAACTGACAGCAAAGGGAAGTTTTTGGTTGATCCCAACTTAGTGAGTTTGTTTCCCTTCTTATGTTCCTGGATGCAGGACTAAGGATGAACTCAGGTCTCCTCTCTGAAGCAAGAGCGCTAATTCCACAACTTGATCTGTGACAATAACTGTTTAAATGTTCTGCTCAATAAGAAACTACTCCCAAAAAAATGACAGCAAGTCCATGGTATCCCTGTCAATTTCCTAGTAAAGAATCAATATTCATTCAGCACAGAAAAACCAGATCCCCTAGAAAGGCCTTCCAGTGAGACACCTTCCCTGCACAGCCAATGTAAATTCAAGTCTTGTCAGATCAGAGCCTACAGACTGTACCTAGAGATGAGGAAAAAGAGAACTGACACCTACCTACTCTTTGCTCACTCCCCATCCAGAAGTATTGAGAAAACTCAACACAACAAACCAAGCCCAGCTTTGAAGGTAATATATTGGGGAAAACCCCTCCATAACTAATTTGGTACTGGTGATGGCAGCACCACTTCCAGCCCAGGCAGCATTCACCCCTTTGTCTTCCTCCAGGAGCTGTGGGGCAGAGCCCTACCTGCCCAGGTGTGTTAGAGCCAGCAAGCACAGCCCATGGGGTGAGTCAGGGTCCTTCTGAGGCAGAGCAGGACTCCCAGAAGCAGAGCAGATCCCCCCCCCCGAGACAGAGCAGATCCCCCCCCAGGCAGAGATCCCCCCCGAGGCAGAGCAGGACCCCCAAGGCAGAGCAGAGCAGATCCCCCCTGAAGCAGAACCAGCCGTGGGGCGGGCGGGCAGAGCCCGGGGCTCACCTCGCAGTGGTAGCACTCCACGTGGTAGTCCTTGTCCATTGACACCACCCGGATGGTCTCCTCGGAGCCCTGGGGTGGAGCAGAGAGAAAGTGACAGTGGTGTCTAAGCATTTCTTCAGTCTTCACGCAGTGCCCAGCTCGTTGCTTTGGAGAGCTGTTCCCCTGTTCCCCCGTGCAGCAGAAGCTCTGTGACCACTGAAGGTCTTAACCCCAGGACCTGGCACTGCACCACTCCTTAGCTTTGTAGCAGCAGTCTGGGTGTCTGGCACATCTAAGCTGCAGAGGTCACTTGGGAATTTTAGCCAAAACCTCATCCTCAAGGAACAAATCAGTCTTAAAATCAAGTAATCTTCCAAGGGCACCCAGATCTGAACAAATTACCAGTCAAAAACCTGCTCTTTGGGTAACTTTTCCTTGTACACATCTTGCTCTGATTTCCAGGACTTGTATTCCTCTCAAACCATCTGCTGCACAGCTCTTTTGCACATGCACATGTCACTGTGTCCCCACAGGGACTGACACACCAGTCTGGCAGGTAATTACATGCACAGGCCAAACCTCAGCGTGAGGGTGGGTGTAGGAGAGTTGTGCAATTCCTGGCTGAGCCCCAGGCCCTGCAGAGCAGCCCATACCCTTCTAGTAACCTCACAGGCTCTTTTGCTGATCCACTCTGAAGACAGAGCTCATTAAATTGCTTGCCTTGCATTGTTTCCAGGTCCAGGCGTGGCTGGAGCACCAGATATGACGTGGACTATGTCTGAGAGAAGCTGTGGGCAAGTTAGCACCTGCACTTCTAGACTTGAACTAACCTAAGAAATCTCCCTGGGAAAGAACATGGAGTGTGTCCTGCTAGTCATCAGGTGAGTCAGCACTATGACTGCCTTATATTTCTTTTTTCTTTCTTGAAAAGAAAAAAAGAACTATTTTTTAAGACCCAAATTCAGTGGCATTTACATAGAGCTTTTCTCCTCACAATCCATCAGGACAAACAGTTCTGGTTCAGCCTTTATAGGGTTCTTGGTTATGTAAGACTTGGCCAGTTAACAGAAATGCTACTGACAAATGAGAGTAATGTGCAGTGGCGGAGAGGTGGGCAAGTGAAAGGCTTTAGCATCAGCCTTTACTGCAGCTCAGCAGCTTACAGGAGGGAAACTCTGACCAGGGGAAAAGCAGGGAGATGCTGAGGCCCTTGTTTACAAATGAAACGGTGGTCAGTGACCTCAGCAAAGGCAACTCAGAGGGTTCTGTACCAACCAGAGCATGAGGGAGCCCCACTCTGGTCTAATTGTGCCAACAACACTGTCAGCCTGGGTTGAGCTTGCAAGCAGGCTTCACCTGGTTCCATTTTTGTTGCTGCCTTTTCAACCCCTTAAAAACTTTCATTCCATTGCCACCTCAGAACAACAGACTGTGTGTGGCCTTCTCACAGGGTCAGGGTAGCCATCAGATGCCTTTTCAAGGGCTTTACTCCCTGAGTTGTTCTTGGAGCCCCAGTCAGTGTTTTCAATTAAATGAGGTTTCTAACAGATTAATGAAGACCTGGAAAGCTAAGACCTGAAGACCTAAAGATATAAAGTACTATACTTTTAGAAGTAGTATGACTATTACAACCTCTGGGAATGTTTGGGAGTGACTTTACTGATGAACTTTGATTTAATTTGGTAACTAACATAGTACAGATTCTGGGAGAGGAAGGAAAAGCCTTTAGTGTGTTTTTAGGAAGTGCCCATATGCCAACAGCTGTTTCCCCTAAGAGTCAGTGCATGTTAACACCTACCTGTGCTGGGAGGATCGGCTGGTTACAGGAAGCACATTTTGGTGCAAAAACCCTACGGTGCAAGAAGAAAGTGTTCCAATCACATTCAAAGCATCTTCAAAAAGTAGAACCAAGAGAGCCATTCTAATCATGCCTTGTTTTTAGTAAAATGGAGATCCACAGGATTTGAAATGCCTCTAATTGTTTGATGATATTCAATGAGAAGGAGATTTGGAAAAGGCTGATCTACCCCAACTTCATTGTTTAGGTCTTCCTGACCTTGAGGCATAATTAATCCACCCCTCTTCCTGTATATGCCATTTTTCTTTCTTTCCTTTATTTATAAAACCATTCAAATTTTTCCAGAGCCTTGATGCTTGACTACAAAGCAGCTCCTGACTTAGGGATGTCACTCTCTGACATCAGAAAGACATAACCATGCTAAAGGAGAGGAGAGGGGCTGATCATGGCCAGAATCTTCCAGGTAAATACACAAATGGGTTTATTGTCCACAGCTGCACTGTATGACAGCCACTGGGACAACACTCACTGTGTCCTTGTAACACAGTCAGATTGGCACCAACAGGGCTGAATTCAGGGTGATTTACTCCTGCTGCATAACTGAGTTATTGGTTAACTGGAGCTAAGAGCAGGATCCTGTTGCCTTTGAGCAGAATCAGGAAGGAGTCTAAAAGCAATCTCTTAACCCTCTACCTTTTGTCAAGTAAGGCTCAAATTGTTCTAAACTAACTGTTAATTACACTTCTGTCTCAGTTAACAAAACTTACACCCGTGTCAAGCACTGCCAGAACCTCTACTCTTCAAACAGCCAGCAGAACCTACCAACACCTGCAGAGCTGGCCTGGTATAATTGGTAGTCCTGAAAGTAGAGGAACAGCCCCCAAGAAACACATCCTCTGACACAATCTGATTTTCAGCCTCACTTGGCTGAAGTATGGCATAACTAACATACTACTTAACAAATCTTAAAATACTTTACAAATGAAACACTTTACAAATAAATAAATTGTAAAATACTTTACAAATGAAAGAAGCAGTTGAGGGACATCTGAGCAAGTAGGAGTGACCTTTTTACCCATCACAAGGCTTATAACTACATCAGTGATTTAACTGGTATTATTTTTCTGAGCATGCAGTGGATTTGTGTACTCACGTATGGTAGTCTTTGACACAGTAAATATTGTTTTCCACATCTACAGTGAAGGGGACTCCATCCAAACACTCGTTACACACCACACAGCGGAAGCAGCCAGGATGGTAGGATTTTCCAAGGGCCTGTAAGATCTTATGAGGCAAACAACAAAATAAATGGATACTTGATTACATGAACTATTTGCTCCCCATAAACTGCTGTGTCTCTCTTATTCTTTATAATGACAGTGAGAAAAGCAATTCAGGATGAAATTACCACTCTGCAGATCTGTCAGCAAGGAGTGTCTTAAAACAATCAACTTGCTTATTTTAGTGGGTTTCAATATGCTCCCAAAGAAGAGCAAGAACTGAAATTCAGGCTAAACCCATCAGCTTTAGCTCTGCAGTGCCAATATTGCCAATGGAAATTAAAAACTGCTTCACAGACCACTTCTGGGGAAATCCCAAATACAAGTTACTTTACCAAACTTAGCAGGCTGTGACAGAATCCAAACAGGTCATTACTCAAAAAGTTAAATAAAAAAACAAGCAAATAAAGAGGTGCTTCTTTATTAACTAAGGATCCTAATCTCCCAGAGTTACTGACTGGTTATCATTCAGTCATAGGGGCCCATCCATTTCTAATAAAATGCCATCACTATCCATGTGTTTGGTTACTGATCCATGCACCAGCCCAGGCTTTTCCCATGCTGACCTTCCCTACTGCATTTTAAAGGTTTCAAGGAAAGGTCTGAAGCAGCTTTGGCTGCACTGCTACAGAACAGATCCCCCCCAGTCCTGACCATCCTCGTAGGTAACACCCAGTGTGGCACTGGGACATTGAGGAGGATGCTGCAAGCCCATGAACAAGCCCCTGGGAAGAGTGAGACACAGTTACCACTTTCAGGCAGCTCTCAACAGACTATAAGACCAATTCCATACATTTTGGGCATAAGAAGTATGTTTGGAAGGTAATTTCAAAATTTCAGCTGCTAGCTGTACTCAGCCTGGAACTGCTGGGAAGCTTGAGATGAGAAATCTCCACTGACCAAGCTCCCTTGGCCCTATAGGTGATTCTATGAATAAAGGTCAAACCAGGAGGAAAGAAGTACAGAAAAAAAGGCCAATTTAATTTAACCTTTTTTCCCCTCCCTGCTGAAGCCCTGTAGAGTTCAGTGAGTGCTATCAGACTCTGTTTGACTGGAAAGGCTGGAGTTGGTGCTGCTGCAGGAGTGTGCTGTGGTGCCAGCCTGGCACAGCTGTGCAGGCACTGGGCACAGGGCAGCTCCTCACCCAGCCCTGCACAGCCCCAGCTCTGCCCCAGGCCAGCACACGGCAGGAACCCACTGGAATTAGCCAACTAGGAGTGCTGAATTCCTGGAGCTCCCAGAGCTGTTTCCTTTTGTCAGAGCACACTTGCTGACGGGAGAGAGGCAGACAAGCACCTGCCAAAGCTTCCAGCTACTGAGCTCCACCAGCAAGATATTATGGACTCTTGCCTGGGATTCTGCAATTAAGGGCCAGCTCAAAGCATGCAAGTCAGGATCCCCCTCCCCCTCCCAGCATGACACAACTCTAGAAATTTGCTCTTGGGCTAAAACGAACAATATCCTTGTCCAACCAGTGGTGCCAGGATATAAGCCAGAATCCTCATTAGTGAAGTCTCTGTTCCAGCTCCAACTGAACCTCCGTGTGTGCAGCACAACAGCTACTTGTCTTAGGCACACTGAGGTTCATGCACACTTTAAAGCAAGAGGAGAATAGATACACTATAGGATCTGCCCTTCTCTGTTGTGAAAACCACTTCATTTTGTTAGGGAATTTCTGCTTAGGAAGAGCACACAAAACTCTTTTCACACCATTTCACGCACTGAAACGATGTCAGTAGTATCTGGTCAACCCAAAGCCCTTTGATTTTTTCTTATTACAAAAGTAACTCTGACTACTGGCTCCCTACAAATCCCAGCGGCAATAATGCATATGGAATGACGTGGAGCAAACAGAGGGTAAACAAAGCAAGTCACAGAGCAGGTGACAAACCTCAGGACTATTGATAATGTTCCTCTCTGCTCTATCCCAGATTCCACCCACTTGACTGAGCTCTTGTTATCTGCTGTCTTACACAGCACACCCACCATGCTCCTTTACCATATTCTCATACGAAGTTGTGCTGTACTTTCACCCTTTAGTATTAAAATTCTATTTTATTTTAACTCACAAATGGCAGAATAACAACCTTCCATATTCTTAGGCAGAAAAAAAGCCAAATTTTCTGTACTTTATAGTAGTTATAGAGCATGAAGGTATTATTATTTACTGCTTCAGTTTCAAAAACTCTATTGACAGCAGTGAAGACACAATAGCATCCTGGGTAAGGAAAAGCAGTCTCACAGTGCACTTCCCAAGCTACCCATCATTAGGAGTTTAGGTCTCTTACCATTTCCATTATGAGGTGTCCACAAACAAAGCACTTGTCTGCTGTTTGCTGAAAACCTGAATACTGTTAAAATGACAGAAAAGAAAGGATCATTAGTAGCCACTCCTCTAGCCACAGAAATACCTTTTAGGTGAAAGCTGTGCTATTTTACTGTGCTGTGTATGACACAGGTTTGGGAGACAGTGACTCAGAAGCCTTTGCTCGGCTTTTGCAGCATGTTCAGATACCAGTTTGGCCTTCTGATCCACTGCAATATTTCCACTGAGATTCCCAATGTAACAGTAAGTTTGATATGTGGAAAGTTTGTGTTTGATGTGCAGAAATTAGCTTGAATTGACTCTTTTGGTGGTTGTTTTGAATAGCATTGGACTCACCTCCCAATTCCTGCTCAAATTAGAGATCTCAGACTTTGGACCTATATTTCACTCAGTGCTATTTGCAAGCTAAAAAATAGAAGACAGGCCTGAGAAGGATTTAGCTGCCTTGTGGATACCAAGCCTTCCAGGCAGGGAAGAATCCAGTGCACTCACAGGAGCTTGGGCTCACTGCACAATGTGGGCAGCAGTGAGGTACCTCAGAAGGATGATCCAAAGCCCAGCTGCCAGCCCATGCTGCACTGCCAAGGGCATGGCTCTGGGGAGATGCTTTGCCTGCTTGGGACCAAAGCTCTGTGTTCCCTGTCTGAGCGGTTCTGACCTTAACTCTGTACTCCTGTCCCCAAGGCAGATCCTGTTTCAGATGCCAAGATCTGCTTTTAGTCCTCTGTTTAGAGGTATAGAGGAACCATCCAGGTAATCAGACTGACCTACAAACCACAGCCTACAAACAAGAGACATCTTCCTGAGGAACTCCAGCCATGTACATTTGAAGCTGGTGTTTGCAGGGGCTGAACTTACTTTCTCCTCACCCTCTGAAGCCCCATCTCAGCTGAGAGCTGTGTGTGCACAATCCTGCCAGGGGAAGGGGTGCCCCCCTACCTGGGGGTGTTGTACACTTATGGTCTTCTAGCAGAGCTCACCTGAAACATGCTTTAATTACACAACATAAAAGATGAGGAAGAGGAGGATGAATGTAAACCAGACTCTTCTAGAACACAGGTTAATTGGCTCAGGCACCTAATGCATCCCCTGAGCCCCAGAGTGTGTATCTTGCTCCATTCCCCCTGGTTTAGTGGGGATTAGCTGTCCCCTCACATCAAAAGCCCGTGGTTCCCTGCCTGGAGCTGCCATATGTTTTCCTTTTTATTGGAGTGAGGGGATTACATATTATGTTGGATCAATAGGTTGGAGATAAAATTATTGTTGCTATGCAACAAAGTGATTATGAAGGGAAAGGTCTCATAGACACTTAAATGGGTCTGGAAGTCAGTAAATGATATAGCAGCTGTCACAGCCCAAAACTTGCCATGCCCAACAGCTCATGCAGTCTTAAGAAACTTTTCCACTCCCCTAGAAGAGATCAGGGTGTTGAGGAACAAAGACAGAGGCAGGCAGTCCTAGCTGTCTATTTCTGCAACATACTACTTTTCTTTGCTTTTTTGCTCTTCTTACTGATGAAGAAAAAGGTCTCACTGCTTGGGATGTTTCTTGGCTGCCCTGTGACTGAGTAACCCTCTGGCTAGACTGCTTCCTAGGGCTGGGAACTCCAGGCTTACTGGAAACAGGTGGGCAGGTCCTAGTGACACAGACAGCAGAGGATTAACAACAGCACAAACCCAGCTAATTCTAAAATCCTGCTGGAATGAATTTACCAGTACCATCTGGCTGTCATTTGATAAGGAATGCAAAGGAGCATTCACACAGCTATTGATTAAGAGGGGACATTATTCCCCAGGGAAAGAATGGCATAGTGGTCAGATTAATGGCATTTATTGCTAACTAGATTGTCATAAATTACACTTTCGTCAGAAAGAAGGGCTTTGCTGACACAAAAATCACTCTTTATATAACTAACCCTATTAAATTAAAACCATTATTTGTTTTTAGCAAGAGAATTGTTATTAGTCAAACACATCCAGAACTGGATTACCCCATTAAGAAGACTTTGCAGAATGGCAGTAAGACTAACAGCAGTAACACAGTATTTCATGGGCTCAGGGAGCTGGTCCTGTAGCACTACACTCTTTCCTCTCCTAGTCACAGGGTCAATCCCAGACAGACTGAAGGCCTGGTTCAGTTAGATGGAGGTTTTGGATCCAGGTCTGCTTTGTTTTAAACCTAATTGGACTGGAAAAGAATAACAGCCTCAGAGCCCAGCAGCACTCTTTTCTATATGATGGCAATACTGTGGGACACTGCTGCTAAAAGAAATAAATTAATTTCTTGACATTTCTGGAGCTTACTGCTGCTTCTTTGCACTGTTTGATCCTAATTTGGAGTGTTCAAACAGAGCTACAGTACTAAGCTTTGAATTTTAGAAGCAGAATTTAAAAGTCTTAAAATACTAATTAAAATTGTCAACGTCTGTCTTTGAAGCACTCGATTATTAACAATCTTCAGAGATGTGGAGAGGAGTTGTGACTTGCTCCAGACTGCAGACAAGGCAGAACAGCCTCTTTATTGTCTCTCAGCACACCAAGAGCCTCCCGGGGTGGGCTCCCAGCATGGCTGGGAGGGAGGAGCAGGTAACTGAGCAGGTAACTGAGAGAAGGTTTCCCTACACAGACTTGGAGCCTTTCTTATTCCTGACAGAGTCAGAGGAGTAAAAAGAGCTTTTGAGCACATCCACTCCCAATCTGAAGGTGTGAAAAACAGGCTGAGGTGAAGCAGTGAAGTGACACAAACTGATAGGCAAGACCCCCATGGAGAAGCCAAAAATCTCCGCTCTGGTTCCTGTTCCCATGGTATTCATAGGCACAAATTCATTCAGGATCTAAGCAGTGTGGGGCTCAATTCTACCCTTACTCTAGAAGGGTTCCCACTATGCCAGGTTCTTAAAAAAAGCATTTTCTTGGCAGAGCAGTAAAGTGATGTAAATACAGACCAATCTCAGGCTGGATAGGAACAGTCAGAAGTCTATGGACACTCTGTATCCACAACAAATGGGAAACATCATTTTGAACTCTCCCTAATATTCATTACAGATACTCCTTAAGCATATATAAAAACAATGAGAGAAGTTGTTATTAAAAGACCAGTTTTGAAATTCAAAGCTGAAAATGAAGTGTTACCCTTTACTCTCCCTTCTGTGACTCAGGAGTACAATGCTGGATACACCAGGATGCAAAGAAAACAAAGTGCAAGTTGAAGAGCTGGCATATTGTTTTTCCTGATTTCTTAGTCTGGTCTCAACTGTTTTCTCCCGTATTTACCTTGTCCTTGTCTTCTCTACCAGGATAATAAAATCTCATTTTATATGCACAAATCAAGACTTTGTAATTCAGCTCCTCAACGACACTTATATAAAATAAGACTCTGGGAAACTAAATAAACCTTGAGAAATATGTTAATTATGTTAGAATAGAAGAGTAAAAATAAAGTAGAAGACTTGGCTGGCTGAACTTTTCTTTTGTTTGCTGTCCAATATACTTTGATTATCAAACAGGCAAAAAAACCAAAAAACAAAACTCTAATGATCCTGTCCAAGAGTCTTTGTTCCAATGTAAGAGGAAAACAAGACCCCTTCTGTCCTGAATATTTAGGCCTGTTAGTATCCTCCTGTGATAATCTTGGGATTTATAACTCTTCTATCTAATATGCAATATCTCTAAAACAAATTAACAATGAATTTTGAGCATATAATGAACAATTATGCATGGAGGATAATCCCACCAAGTACTATGAGAAACAATTTCTCCTGTCTGTTCTCAGTCCTGCGGCAAATCTCGGTTGTCTACCAGGGTCTTTTAAAGTTCGATGTTCCCATCATGACTTTCAAAAGAAAAACATTCAGAAAATAGTGTGCCTGAAAAAGGCTTCAGGACCCAAACTTTGTACCTTAGGCAATGTCAGGCCTTTGAAAAGACATGTCACCGGCTCCTCCTTCACATGCCTGACCGTGCCCAAGGAGGGGCTGCTGCTCTTCCCTGCTGTTATGCACTCAACAAAACAAAACCTTCCTCCTGGAAACAGACCTTGGAATCTCATTCAGGCCCATTTGCTTCTTTGATGAGGATGTTCAAAACCTGCTGAAGGTTTGTGCAAGCAGAGCCAGTGGGCTACATTTCAGTGGGTGTGGCAGCTGCTGCCCCGGCAATGGTATGAAGCTGTAAAATCTCCAATTCACTGCAGCAGCACTGCAAAGTCACCGAGCGTGGCTGCTCAGCCTAGGCTGGAGATTCCTACTCTTAAACGCTTTAAGAGTTTTTAAGCGGGATGATAAGGAATTTTTGCCAAAATGCTTCAGGCATTTAATTCTGAAAACTAATTTCTGAATTGGGTGCTGTGCTAATAATGTATTCCAACCCCAGGCTGCCTGTAATCCCTCACAGACTCTCTGCTCCTTGCTTTCCCATTAGTAGAGCATCTGTCTTCTCACTGCTGTATTGTTTGCTCTCTGCATGGGACCCTTACTACATGGTACACAACAATGTAAGAAATTCATGGGATTGCATTAAGAGAGGGAACAAATATCAAATTTGGTTTCATGCAGATGGGGTTTTGTTGTTGTTTTTTACACACATATTTAAATGCAGCGATTAAAATGAACTGGACAAAATGGGGCCTTCTCAGGCTCAAAGATAAAGGAGCCTCATAGCAGGTGACAGATTAATGAAAGGAAAATAGTCCAGAACTTTACTCTTCATCCTGCTGAAACTCTTTCATGTATCCTGTTGCTTCACTCTGTCTTGCTGTCTGTGAGGAAACAGCACACAGCAGTTTGCCTTCTTGCTTCTGTCTTTCCACTTTGTTATGTTTAAAGGAGAAGGACAGGACAAGGAGGGACTCCATGCTCTGCACAGAGCTAGCAGGTGGTGTGGCCATGCACAAAACTCTGCCAAGAATTCAGCTGATCCTGAATTCTGTCTCTGCCAGTCAGGCATTTTATAACCCCTGAGAAGAGACCATTTACATCCTACAGTACCACACAGATCCTGGGTGAGCACTCGCCAAGGCTACTTGCTG